AAATTTCATGAACAGAAAAAGCCTTTAATCTTATTTTCTCCTGCTTCTGCAAATCAGATCCAAACACGTAACTTGTATCTACCTACAGAAGAATCTTTGTTTACAGCCATGGTTGCTATGCTCAAATTTAGTAAGTTTTCACAGCATTCTGCAGAGCAAGTAAATATAACTATAGCTAGGAAAAGGGACAACATCTATAAACATATCAGGAATCCTGGGGAAGGATTTGTATGCATAAAACATTGCTTGTTTTTTTAACAATTATTTTCATTAATCTATTAAAATGTTTTGTTTCTCCCTACCAACCTCTCCTCAAAACATATAGTCATGCATTTCAAAGCCAGAACAACTGGTCAGGTCTGATCACTACTGATGTACTTGACAGAGAATCTTACCTGGTTATGCTTACAATAAGACTATGCTATTTTTGAGTCTCCAATGGCTTATATAAAGAAGTAAACTTACAAAAATACATGTTCTCCGACTTTAGCGGAGCTGGTAACTTTGCCTGTGGCACTGCAGCTACTACACTTGATGGGTTTTCTCCGATTTCCTGTACAAGGGTTATCTGAAAATTCCTCACTGTTTTACTGTGAGTCTTGATCACAGACTTCTGGATTCAGGTAATGATTGGTGAATATCAGCTCTCAACAGGGGAAAAACATACCCTTCTCACTTCTGATAGCCCGAAAGAGAACTTGAAAACCTAAAGACTCAAGGACCAGAAAAATATCCAAAACAGCAACCAACCTTATTAAATTCCACAATTTCTAGACCAATTTCACATTTGGAGGCCTTGAGTCATGATTTCAAGGTGTCCAACTGCTGCAATATTCAGCATTTGACAGAACCTCCCTGCAGAACACCACAGCAAGTTCCTTATGAAGTAAGGCAGAGCAGGAGTCATGAGGAGGGTGGCACTATCTGACAGAACATGGCACCTGGCATTCTTCAGCTTTCTCCGTTTCTCAGAGACACCCCAGATTTGTCCCTAAAAGGATGCTTTCCTTACTGACAGTGCTCTGCAGCTTCTGCCTGCAGGAATATACCGGAGATTTTGGAACTACTGCTGTGAATGTGTTATTTTATGAGGAGCCTTTCCCCCTCTGCACTGAGGGGAAGAACACAAGACAAAGTCAAACAAAGCTCTTATTCATTGCCTCAGCCCTTTAAGTCACACACCCCCATGCCTACGCATGCACACATAGACACACTTCAGCAAGAGCCTTCCTTGTGTGTGCTCGAACAAGCACAGCCCCAGGCAATGAAAGGAGAAAGGGCCCTCATAATTGTCATTTATCAATATTCATAAAGAACCTGCCTTAACCCCTCTTGTGTATGCTCAGGGAAAAAAACCAAAACCACAAAATGAAACGCAACCAAAATAAAAATAAAATGAAATAATCATCTCACTGCTCATTACCGCAGGGGATTTCCTCTCAATGTCACCACTGCCCTGCGCAGTAATTGGCATTATCTGTTACCTCTGAAGCCATAATAAGGTTTGCCACGGGGCATTTTCTGTAATCATATTTTTATTTGTCAGCTTGTGAGATGCAGACACCGAATATGAGCCCGACCAAAGCCGGAGCCCAGGGCCGGGAGGATGCGCGGCGCCAATCCCCGCTCCCGCCGGTGATGTCACGCCCAGCCAATGCGGCTCCCGCCAGCCCTCCCTCCGCTCCCACCCGCGGCTGCCGCTGCAGCATCCCCAACACCGACATCAAAGAGGCTCTTCCCGAGGAAACCAAGGATTTGTGACCTACCCAATACGTGCTCCCACATTCTTTCCGACAGAAAATACAGTCGGCACCGAATTAGCCGAGAGCTCTCCCACAGTAGGGAGGCAGGACATTCAAAAGGGACTATTGATTTGGGGCACCCAGCAGAGGTATCTTAAAGGCCCTGAATTCAGGAAAGTGGACACCCAGTATTAGGTGAATGGCAACTTAGGAAAAAAAAACAATCATCATCACCTCTGTCCAAAGAAAACCTCCCAGGCTTGGATGGTCTTAAACTGATGTCTGAGGAACCTCAAGTTCCTCTGCCATTTCTTGCACCGCTGCCGAGTGCGTCTGCTCCAGGCACTGCAGCGCAGCGCAGAGCCCTCAGAGCAAGCACAGAGGGAGAGCTGAAGTAGAAGCAATAATGCTGCATCACTGAGTTAACTGCTTGGCTTGCCAGCTCAGGCAAAGCAGCAAGGTAACACAGGATCCCACGAGATACCTCTGCATGGTGCTCAGTGTGCTGCACAGTTGCCTGTGGGTCCCTAGCCTGGCACAGTACTATGTACACACAGAAGTCCTCAGAGGACCCTACAGTGGGTTATCTATAAGCATTCTCCCGTGGACAAGCTATATCATAAAAACCCCATAAGTGACTGCACCACAGAGTAAGGTACATCAAATATTCTCCCATTGTTTCCAGTAAATAGAACAAGAACAGAAAGCACATACATTTTTAAAACAACACACAAACAGACTCAAGCTCTACGCCTATTCTACTTCCTTTTCTCAGCTGCTTGTTTGAAAACACCTCTCAGACAGAGGCTATCTCTCCACACAGGAGCAGCAAAAGCCTTTTACTGATGGGAGGATTGGGGAATCCTTCCTGAATCTTTGATTCAGGAATCCTGGTGCGTCAATGCATTTTGAGCAGTGAATGCTGACTGTGGTTACATACTCCTGTGAAAGTAAGCCACAGGTATTTCAGAGTGTTTTGGGAGGTACAGGAAGAAGATGGGACAATGATATGGGGCTGGGGATAGCAGACCATCAATCTATTCTGCCAGTACGTCAGAAGCACACACATTTAGTCATTAACCAAAGCAGAAGCCTTCATTTTTCAACGTGGTCATAACTGGATAACCTGGCTGATGAGATGATTTGTCATTTCACTGCCCCATGACAGGACAAGGTCAGGCTTCATTGCTTAGGAAAGCACATTAACTTCTATACTCACACGCATGCACACATATGTATTTATGCATGCTCTGATTTTCTGATAACTGTCTAGAATACAACACAGAATCTAATATAACACAGACCACACGAGTCTCAGAGTGACCTGGAGGGAGAGCTTATGATTTACTGCTAACTTATTCAGAACTAGATGCTAGTCAAGTGGGAGTTAGCAAGGAGACAGGGGATTTACTTATTAGCAAGACTACTGCCCACAATCCAATATGTTTAACAGAGGAAAATGGATTCCTCAAGAGAGAAAGGCACTCTGCCTTGAAGATTTCACATATTGTTAAACCTGCAGAGATGCCTGCCTGTCTGTCTGACATGAGACTCACCATGATCCTCACTCAGTTTATTAAAGTCTCCCAGATCAAGAGGTATTCATCATAAGCCCAAAGGACTAGCATGTATGTGCATATATGCCTTTTTTAGTACAAACTATCCCAATGGAGATTCAGATTTCTCCAGAATATTCATTTGGAAGAGTAAATAATTTCCCTTCAGTTTTACTTAAACATTTTCGCGTCTTCTTGGATTGGATTTCTAAGTATTAAGTCAACTAGGAAACAGAAACATGTATGCATGCAATCCACCAGTGGTTACACTGCCCAGTGTACATAAAAAATAACAGCTCTGCAACCTACCAAGGTTGTATGCTGGTTCTAAAATGGTCAGGATCACTCAGTGCAGTTGATTAGTGGGGAGGAATAATTGTGGAATTCATAGAATAAAACTGATCAGACATCTCTGCCAACAGAGTAAACTTAGATCTTCTAGTTAGGGCATGCAACCTGCTCTTGGCCTTTTTGGGAATTTCTCTGACTATTGTAACCCTGACTGTACCAGGTAGACATTGTCCTCAGGACTGTCTCACCCAGATCTACCACCTTTGAACTGTCTCTTCTGCTAACGGTACACTTTTCTCAATATATCCTCAAGAAAGGCTCTTCTTTCCATTTAGAAATATGCTTTCTTTCTGATTACTATTTCCTGTTGAAATGAGTCAGAGATGATGGGGGAGGGCTAAAAAAGCAAGTTAAATATTTAAGCATCCATTTTTGCTGTAGCCGTTTATGCTGGGGCCATCTGGTTTGTGAGTTTTCAGCACAGAACTGGGGGTACAGAAAATCCCTGTAAGGCTGCTGAGAAGTAACCACACAGTGATTATGCAAATCCAGCTACTGCAATATCTATCTGTGGCCCTTGGCCTCCTGGAGTTGGGGATCTATGGCTGGCTGTGGCTATGGAGAAGCAGTCACGCAGACATAATGTAGATGTTCTCCCTCAGCCAATCTAAATGCAAGGAGATGCATTTATGAGAGCAAGGAGCAGGCAGTTATGGGTCAGCAGCTATACAGAAACTCTTGTGCTCAGACTGATTACAACAACTTGATTTCAGTATAATTTAAATTACCTAAACTTGCTGGAGATGAAGGAGAAATCGGTCCAATTTAAAACACCACCTGATATCACAGGTTAAACCACACCTGACGGTTAAATAATATGATGGAATTAGAAAGTATAAGAAAATTCTTCCCTACTGGAAAGGAAATTAAAGGCAATGGTGACTCAAATGCCCAGAAGGGACTCAGTGAAGGTTGCCAAAAGCCAGCAGGTTTTCAAAAAATGAAGGAAGCCGTAAAATGACTTTGCTGTATTTGCAATTGTCCCAGGTTTCTTCAGGGATTCATTTTGATATAGTGTATATAATCTTAATTATTAGTAAGTGCCCCAAAAATTATGGAAATGAAACTGTTTTTCTTTGGTAGTTTTGGTTTTTCTGTTTAAAGCATTACCTGTGAATGAATTCTCCTCCAGTGAAAAATGACAGACAATCTTCTCCATGAAAAGTCCATCTGTGACTGGTACATTGTCTCATAGATGGTCAAGAATTAAAAAATACATCAGTATTTTACCCAATGCTTTTAGAGCTTTACATCATCAGTAATTTATCAGAAAGTAAAAATATCAAGGTAAGATCCCTTTATTATGTGCTTTTATGTAACAGGTAACTCCTGTGGAAATGGCTGTACTCACCATATTGAATGACTATGGCAGAAGTCTAAAGCAGAGATGATTTGTCGGAAGAACTTCCTGGCTTCTTTTGGTGTCAATCTTCCCTTTTTTACGAGATAGTCGAAGAGCTCCCCACCTGACACATGTTCTAGCACCAAATACCTAGAAAATAACAAAGCCAGGATTTGGTAAGTACGTGATCATATCAACCCCTTCACAGTCACACAGTTGTACACAAACACTTCTATTTACGGTCAAGGAGATCAACGCTTCTACATAGTGGTCAAGGAGAACGCTTCCAGAAATAACAGCAGAGGAGAATCAGAATTTTAAAATCAGGAGCGATTAGTATTTTTAACAGGGGTCCTGCAAACTTCAGACCTGACACTGTTGGATTCAGCGTCTAATATCATAGTGAGAGAGAATCAAGAAGCAAAAAGTTACTCAAAAGACCGGAGGGGAAGAAGAGAATAATCAGGAATAAGGTTCCACAGCAGCTCTTCAAGTTACAGTGGAGTAAGACTGTGTACCAGGAAGCCTCAGGTCCTTTAACCAAGCTGACAGTTCTTTCATAAAACAGCTGTAGCAAAGCTTCACTCAGAAAGAATCAGACAGATGTCAACAAATTAGAGCAAATTAAAAAAAAAGGTGAACCATGTAAATTATGGAAAAAAAAAACCCAACACGTGTGTAGCCTACATAAAAGATTCAGATTTTGCTGCTGAACACCAGTTATTTGCTGGAGTAGCTTCCTGTCCTTGCAACTCACATGTGAAAAATGTGACACTGAGTGAATAAATACGGCACGAAGGGGGCCTAAGAGCGATAGAGGAAATTCCAGGCCTCATATTGCACTCCTGGCAGTCATAGAGCAAAAAGTAAAACCTTCTTGCAAGGAAAGAACTTGTCATAGGTGGACCATCTTGTTGTAAGTTGGGGAAATGAAAGGCAGCCAAGCAGAGGAAAACAGTATAAATCTCTGGAAATGTTGCCGAGTAGTGGGAATGAAACAGTTTTTCCAGGAAAGTGGCAGGAACACCATCAACAAAACCACTTAAAAACAAACCAAATATAATATGGACTAAGAAAGAGGATTGCTTGAAATCTCCATAAACCTTTTCCATCTCTATTATGATTTTGGGGCCTAGTGTCTCCTTGCTTTTTTTGCTTCACACATGCTATTTTAATACAGAATGAAGAAATTACAGAGATGAGATAATTTACCCAGAATCTGAAATAACAAGTATAAACATCAGTGTAAAGCATCAATGTACAGGTGAACAGTGGATTCACACCTATGGCAATTTGTTTGCAAGACATCACCAGAAAACTTCCAAACAAGAATTAGTTATTTTTCCAAGTTTTGAATGTACTGCTCAGTCCCTGCCTCGCAACGGCACAGCAGACCAGGCTGAACTGTACGTGCACTATGATCCATCAATCCTGCTTTACAGTAGGATAGTTTTACTACCAGCATTAATCCACTTCTTCAAATTTGAGTGGACAATGAAAAATAATTAATCCAGAATACTGTCTTTTCTGTACCTCAAGCAGCATAACCTCCAAGGAAATTTCTGAATTTGAAATGGAAAGTGAAGAAGACTGTTATCAATTTGGAGTCATAATTATTACTGTTTTCAATGCTTCCAAAAAGATAGGACAGAAGAAGGACTAAAAGCAGTTCTGAGGAAAGTAAAACTGCCTTAATGATAATGGCATTAGCCTTGAAGTTGCAAAAGTGGAACCTGAGCTCCTGGTTAATCATCAGCTCCTGAGCAACTTCCATGTGTCAGTTCTCACCTAATATATGGAGAAAGCGCTTCCCTGACTTACAGAAATAAAGCAAAGTCTGCAGTAAGACAGACATTAATACTGTCTTCCAGTTAAATATGTATTAAAAAAAAGCACAAAAAGTGGACAACAAAATGAAATTATAAACTTTAGGGAATTTTTTATTTTCTGCATTTTTTATCAAAATAGAAACATTTACAAGAAATATGGTAATACTGAATTTTCCCCCTTTCATTAAAATGAGTAAAAAAAGAAAAATCTTAACTTGAAAATCACATTTGGAATATGTGGTTAATCTTCTCTCAAAGACAGATGAGTAGTTACTAGACTGTCTACTGAGTACACCTTGGTAACTTGGAGATCACTGTGTATTCACATTACATTTTTTGAGTAAGTCATTGAAATGCTCAGAAGAAAGCTGATATGCAGTAACCAGAGGCACTGGGGTATCCACATGGTCAAGTCCCAATCCTTGCTGCCTAAGCCTTGGCTAGGAGACAATCTGATAAGAGGGTTTGCTATATAATTCATTCTCTGTCTCACATTAGAGACAGATGTGGCTAACTATCCAATATGGCAGACTCAAGTCTGGCACAGAATCAATCCTAAGATTCTTCTTGACAGCTCCCTCTCTCACTGTGCCCAGCAGAAGCTGGATACCAGCAGTGCATCTTGCCCCCAAAATTCAAATTGCTAGCTGCTTTTCTTTTCTGGGACGTATATTACAAAGATGATTGCAGTTACAGGCATATAGAACACCCTCCACACTGCTTTCAAATGTGCAGTTTTGGAAAATTACAGACCCAGCATTTCTGTCACCCACAGCAGGAACTGCAAAGCAATTTATTTTCATCAACTTCATCTTATTAAAAACACTCAACAAAAATGGACTGACACGTTGTATGAGAAATAAAACAAATTGAAAGACAGGGAGCATTTACAAGGTTATTCATTTTTTGCTTGCCACCTAGAAGCACTAGATATAATAATGGAAATGAACAGGGGAGAGCATTTGAAAAAGATTTGTGCCTATGACAACTCAAGGGACACAGAGAAGCACAGCGACGATGTATTCTGATCTGACAAAGCCCCCAACGTGACATGAGTGAGAAGGATGACAAACACATTCCCCAGTGGATGAGTGCAAGATATAAATGCTGCAGGAATCACTCCACAAGTACTACGTGGCTACGTTGCAGCTAGGATTCCTGAGTTCAGATTTGCAGCTGGTCACCCGCCAACCCTGTTCCCGCTAGTATGACATGGGTTTTTTAGGATAGCCCCCAACTAGGAGATTTTCCATTAAACAAGGGCATAATTCAGCACCTGCCTCCATCTCTGTGCAAGCCAATGTTCTGCTGGCACAATTCATGGCACAGTAGCAGTACACTTGTTATTTCCAAACAGGACAGCAAGAGGGGTTTAAACATTTCCAAGTGTTGCACCGGTTCTATCACTGCACAGCTTACACAAACCCCACTAAGTGCTGTATATCTGTATGTATCCATCTGTGTATGTGTGAGTGTGCCTAAGTGACTCCACAGAAGAAGAGAATAAACACTCTGAAAAGCCAAACAGAAAAAGCAAGGGAAAGAACATTATTCCAGAGGCTGGAAAATAAGGCATACAGACACTACATCTTTCCTGAATCCATGGCACAGAAAAGAATCCAGATCTCCTGAGCTCACATCAGTGTCTAAAATCCTTTACTTTAGCAAAGTGCTATAGGATTGGAAGTATGCCAATGCCAGCTCTTGGAGGATCTAGGAGAAGGTAAATAACACGTAGCCTCTAGGGGTGAAAAACACTAAGAAGCATTTTCCCGAGTTTCCTTTCCCTTTTATCTTCCCCAGATATGACAGATTCTCATTTCACTATAGTACTACTTTTCCCATTTATTCTAAGCAAGCAAGTAAATTCTAAAAATCCTGGAACAGTAACCAGAACTACTCTCCTATTAGATTTAGAGATGAAAAGCAACTTATTGGTGAATGAAGCTTTTATTTTTTTTTTTTTAATCCTATCTATGTAAGATTGACAGCATCGGTCCTCCCATTGTGAAAACATAAGAAAACCCACTCTGTAAGAGCCATTGCAAGGAGGTTCAAGGAAAGGAAAGACCCAGCCTCTGGCTGGCGGCATGCACACTACATGCTGGGAGAATACAGAGAGGACCTATATTAGGACAAATGATGCTGTAAAAGCACTTAGGTTTCACATGTTGGATGCTCTGGACACATACCAGCTCTTCTAATCCTTGCATTTCACATGAGAGAAGCAAGTATTAACAAGCATTAACCTCCTGTTCTTTACTGATAGGGAACTGTGAAGCAAAGTGACTTGTCCGGAGTTACAGTCGCCCAGTATCAGAGCTGAGATTAGCAGCTGTGGTCCCTTGTGCCTTCTACTCCATGCTGTACCCACCACCAATTTCCCCTCTGCTTGCTACGACACTGGAAAAGCCAGAAAACATCAGGGTTCTGCAACTCAATATGAAACCAAGTGCATGCTAAAAATAAATTCCCGATTACTTTTCCTCACTAGATATATTCTTTATGAGGTCGCAAATATTTTCACAGGCCACAGTTTGCTTTCATAAAGACACCAAGGTCCACATCTTGTATCAGTATATTATGTCCCTGCTACAAGCCAAGACATGAAACTAAAAATCTCCGATTAAGTTTCAGAGCCTGAAGGAGACAAGACTTTGGTCTTTAAAAACAAAGAAGCTGAATACTAAATAGAAGAATAATTTTGTTGATTGGAGAGGAACAGAGAGATTGCATCCAGCAGCATTCTATCTATTCCCTTTGTCATTTCTCCATCTGCATCCCATCATTACCACCTCCTCAGTGAAAGATTCTGAATTCCTAACCTCAAATGACCCACTACATATCATATCAGAGATATGCACGCAGCTTATAAAAGCAAGTTCAGAATAATCCTAGGCTCTTTTGTTTCTTTTTAGTTCATTCCATTTACTCTTTCAGAAACCAAAACAGTAAAGAAGGCTTTTAGGGTAGGTGTTAACTTTGACTCAGGCTTTCTTCAGGTCCCTATGCCTTGGCTGTACTGGTATCTTTTATATGTTTTCTTTATTATACCTCTAAGATAAGGGTTTTCCTATCCATCCAGATAGATAAACTTTCATGTCTAATTTTAGCTAGATATCTTGTATCTGAATTAATTCATCATTATCTCTTTGATAAACACATTCTGGCTCCACTTTTGGTGATGCAAAATAGATATCAGACCATCACAGAAATATCATTTTCTTAGCCACTTTGACCACTCCTTCCATGCCTCCATCATCCTCCTTTTTTTATACTTCATCTAACATGAACTAGCTTCCTTCATTTCTTGTAGCCCCT